ACCCAGTGTGGCAAAAATAAATAAATTTAAAAAATAATTACAGAAAATTTATACCAAACAACAACAAAGAGCTTCTGGTAATTCTTCCTAAAGCCCTAAGAAATATTTTGGGGAGAAAGTATGACAGGAAAAAAATGCTTTTAAATGAATGCATTATACAGTTGTATCAGTAAAAAGCACAGTATAGTTGAAAGGCCACTTAAGAATTAGATCAGAAAAAAAAAAAAAGAATTAGATCTGATTATGAAATCATCCAGATATGGAACGATCCAGATAGATGACTTAAGATAATTTACTAACCTTTTCTGAGCTTCAATTTTATTTTATTATCTGCTAAAAATGAGAAAATTAGACTAAACTTTGTCTCAATTCAAACTACATAACAGGCATTTAAAGCATCTAAATTTTTCTTTCAATTTCATGAAAACAGTGAAAACAGGACATAGGAAAGAGTGAGAAAGGGAACAACGGATGGCATGTGGAAGGAAAGGGCTTAAAACACTGGGTTTGTTTTTCTCTAAGATCCCTTTCACTCCCAATATTTCCAAGCAGGAAGGAACATTTCATTATCATTTTCCCTACTGAAACAGAAAATAGCAGGAGGTTTCAGGTGAAAACTTCAGATACCCCATTCCTCAAGGCCTCGAAACTTTTGCCTTAACCAGAGAAAGGATGTGGTTTACTCTGGTCTAATTTATTTTTCAGGAAAATAAAGATTTTTTTCAATCAAAGATCTCAGCATTTGTCTTTATGTCTATAAAAGCTGCCCAAACAACCCCACAAAAAACAAAACAAACAAACAAAAGCTGCCAAATCAGTATGTTATGCTGGGATTCTTAACTATGATTTAGAGAAATTTTTCTTTCATGGGATGACAGTGATGATCATGGTGGTCAAAAACATCCCTCAAATCTTTATTTATAAAGCTACAGATACACAAAACCAAATGTAAGGATTTTACAAGTAAGTTTCACTACTATCAAAAACTATCCTAAAATTATATAGAGGGCATGCAACAAACAGTAAGCATCAACACTGGGTACTGCTCTTATTAACTATATGACTTTGGACAAGTCAATTTATGCTCTCAATGCTTCCGTTTTCTTATCTGTAAAACGGAAGTTATGAACTGAACTTGTCAGGTAAACATGTACAGCAGTAACTATGGACACCTTCAGCAACTTTTACCAACCTAGCCTTTATCACAAGAGACAGACCAGTCAGTAACTGTTTGGTGAAAGTTAATGCTTTTAATGTAAAATTCTATCAAGTATCTCTTCTTCAGAGAATAAATATTCCCAGATGAAGTTATTCAGTTCTTAAATATTGATAAAGATTTACTATCTGGAGTCATTTATTTGATTAAAAAATAAAATATATGTATATTTAAAGAAGATCTTGAAGGATATAAACCAAAGCCTCTTAACCATTGCTGTTTTCTTTGAATGACAGAAACAAGATATTTATTTCATTCTCTTAGGCTCATCTATAGTTTCTAATTTTTCTATAATAAACAAGGTATTTCTGTAATGAGGAATACCACCATTTTTTTAATGAAATTAACAGGCAAATGAAGTTAAACATTTCTTTAATTCATGCTTTGGAACTCAAAATATATTAGTACTTATACTGGCTGCACTCATATTCCTACTGGAAGAGAGACAACCAAGAATATTAAACACACATTTTAATTTATTTTCCATTCTGATTTCTCTTTTTTTAAACTATAGTTGATTTACAATATTATATCAGTTTCAGGTATGTAACATAGTGATAATATTTTTATATATTATACTCCATTTAAAGTTACTACAGGATAACAGCTACATTTCTCTGTACTGTACAATATATCCTTTTGCTTATCTATCTTATACATAGTAGTTTGTATCTCTTAACACCCTACCCCTATCTTGGCCCATCCCTCTTCCCACTGATAAACACTAGTTTGTTTTCTACATCTATTATTCAGTTTCTGTTTTCTCATATACATTTGGTTCATTGTATTTTTTTATATTTTATATATAGCTGGTAACAGATTATTCACCTTTCATCTTTCTCTTATTTCACCACATATAATACTCTCTAGATCCATCCACACTGTTGCACATGGGAGAATTTCATTCTTTTTTATGGTTGAGTAATATTCCATTGTGTGTACACATATGCCACAACTTCTTAACCAATTCATTTGTTGTTGATGGAGACGGGTTCCTTCCATACCTTGGTAATTGTAAATAATGCTGCTATGAACACTGGGATGCACATTGTTTTCATTTTCTTCAGCTTTATACCTAGGAGTGGAATTGCTGGATCATACGGTAGTTCTATCTTGAGTTTTTTGAAGGCCTTCCATATTGTTTTTTATAGTGACTGCACCAACTTACATTTCCCATCAACAGTGTACAAGGATTCCTTTTTAGTCACATCACCAACATTAGTTATTGGTCATGTTTTTAAATGATAGCCTTCTGTCAGGTATGAGGTATTATCTGTGGTTTTGATTTGCATTTCTCTACTGGTTAGCACTATTGAGCATCTTCTCATGTGCCTGTGGGCCATCTGGACGTCTTCGTTGGAAAGTATCTATTCAGGTCTTCTGTCCATGTTTTAATTGATTTTTGGAGCCGTTTATATATTTTTGGGTATTAACCACTTAAAGGTCCTATCATTTACAAATATTTTCTCCCATTCAGCAAGCAGGCTGTCTTTCATTTTGTCAATGGGTTCTTTTGCCATGCAATAGCTTTTAAGTTTTAATTAGTCCCATTTGGTTTCCTTTGCCTTAGGAGACAAATAAAAAAAAAAAAAATGCTATGATTTACATCAAAGAGTACTCTGCCTAGGTTCTCTTCTAGGAACTTTATGGTTTCACATCTCACATTTAGGTATTTAATCCATTTTTAGTTTACACTTTTATATACAGTGTGAGGAAATGTTCTAATCTGTTTTATGCACAGCTCTTCAGTTTTTCTAGCACCATTTACTGAAGAGACTATCTTTTCTCCATTATATATTCTCTCCTCCTCTGTTGTAGACTAACTAACCATGTGAGTTTGTTTCTGGGCTCTCTATTCTGTCCCATTGTAATCTATGCGTGTTTTTGTTTCACTACCATGCTGTTTCCATAAATGTAGCTTTGTAGTATAGTCTGAAGTCAAGAAAGCATAATACCTCCAGCTTTTTTTTTTGTCTCTTTCAAGATTACTTTGGCATTTTGAGGGTCTTCTGCACTTAGATTATTAATTTTAGGATTATCTGTTCTAGTTTTGTGGAAAATGTCATATATTTTCACCACCCCTCCTCTCCTTCTGGGACTCCCATAATGCAAATGCTGGTATAGTTCAAGTTGTCCCAGTGGTCCCTTACACTGTTCATTTTTTTTTTTGGTTTTCTTTTTGCTGTTCTGATTAGATTATTTCCATTATCCTTTCTTCCAAACCATTTATATGCTCTGTATCATCCAGTCTACTATTAATTCCTTATAGTGTGTTTTTCATTTCAGTCTGTATTTTTCAGTTCTGATTCTTCTATTTTCTGTGTTATTACTCATAAAAACACTTTGAATTCTTTATCTGGTAAACTGCTTATTTCTGTTTCATTAGCTGTTTTTTCAGGGGTTTCCTCCTACTCTTTCAATTGAAACAAATCTGTCTGTCTTGTTTTGCTTACCTTTTACCTAATTTCACAGAGGAACAGCTTATGGGTGTCATTATGTGGGGCAATCCCTATACAGTCAGCCTGTGCCCATGGCTTTGGAGGGAGAGCCAGATTCACCCTGAACACAGGTCACACTTTCCCTGACAGCATGATGGTAGCTATCCCCTTGCTGGGAGGTGTGGCTCGAGGTGGAGGGGCCAGGGCCAGGGCCAGGGCCAGGGCCAGGTATGAGCTGGCTGTCTGACCATCTGCTGTCACCTCCCTTTCAGGGACAGGGTCAGGCCTCAAATTCCTGCAGCACAAGTCCCGGGGCTCAGTCTGAGCGGGCTCTCTTCCCTCTAAGTGTGTACCCTACACACCTCTCCCTCTAGCACTGTTGTGCTAGAACAAGAGGGGCTGGTGTGGGCACTCCAAGTGTGGGGGCATGGGCTATCGGTCCCGCAAAGGTCACAGATCCAGACTGCTTCTGATATTCTGCCTGTAATGGGTGCCCCCACCCTGCTCACATGCTGCTTCAGGTCTGTGTTGCTTCTGTATCTCACGGCCTGTCTCCCAAGCAGGACTATAGAGTGTCTGTTTAGCTCAGGCCAGGATGTGCAAGGGTGGCTATGGGAAGCCCACCAGCCACTCCGGCAGCTTTCAACCCACCCTCTCCACCCTGCCTCAGACAAGTATGCGCACCCCCCTCAAGGGCAGAGTTCAGGCGTCCTGCAGGCCCCCCGTTAGGCCCACTGGCCTCCAAGCAGCCAAGGTGGCTCATGTTTCAGTGCTGGGCCCCGAGACTGTAGCACCCAGGATGCGGCTTAGCCCACTCGCTCCCCAAGGAGGGCCTCTACCCATGTAACTTCCTGAGTCCTCTCCCAGCAACACAAGCTCCAACTCATCATTTATCTTCCCTTCCTATTCAATGTCATGCATATCTTTCTCTCAGCTTTGACTGTGCAGGAGTCCCTTAGCCAGTCTCCAGTTAGTTTTCAGTGAAAACTGTTCCACATGTAGATTTTTGATGTCTTTGGGGGGGAAGGTGAGTTTTGCCTCCTCTACTCCATCTTGTCTCTGAGACACAGCTTTATGACCTTATTATCTGGCCAAGTTCACAACAATGTTAGTTTCCTCAGAGGGCTAGAGAGCCAGAGAGAGGCATGCAGCTAGAAAGAGCACCTAAATCATACTCCAAAGGCTGTCCTAGGAGGTTCGAGGTATTTTCGTGGTTAAGAATCTTTGCCATAAGCCTCTGATTTCTTATTTGGGCCCTAACTCTTACTATATATCTTCATTTCTTAAATCTCACCAAAACTTCCATGCAACCCTTCCAAACATTTCCAAAATTAAGAAAAAATTACCGATGAGACTTCTATAATCTCTTAACCTCGAATTTCTTTTCTCTTGTTCCTCGCTGACAGATTTCCACTGAAGTTTCATTCTGAAGTATTCATCACTACAGAAACAATTTTACACCAAAAAGTTAATTAAACACCTAAAAAAAAATTTAATGTATCAAAGCATTTATGATGCTAGTGAGATATAAATTTATAAATGATAGTAAAATGTTTAAAGCTAGGATAAATTAGTGAAAACAAAGGAAAAATAAAATAATCTATGTCAAATTCTGTTTAAACTATGTGAATAATTTATGTGTGATTTTAAGGAAACATTTATTTAAATCCTTAATATCAGACCTAAAATTATTCCTCTCATTAAATACTTTAACCACTAGAGTTTCTGAATAATGACAAATATTGGGTTGGCCAAAAAGTTTGTTTGGGTTTTTAAAACCAGAATAAACTTTTTGGCCAACCCAATATAAACCTAAGGAAAAAAAAATTTTTTTTTCTTTATTGTAACATATGAGTGCCATTTTCCAACAAGTTTACTGCAGAAATTTGTTGATGTGAAAATGTCTAAGACGTTCTGGCAAACATATTGAGGTGAGAAAGGACTGTGTGAGTTTGAATATATACATAATGACTGAAAATGAGCTTTAAATTAAAGGTTAGACTGACAGACTGGGAATAAGTAAAACTGGACAGTTGGTCTGTGTTTCTTTTTAAGTCTGATAAATTACTTAGAAACAGAAACACACTTCCAAAAAAAAGGAATCAAAGACCAGTTTATAAGAGCACCAGGAAAATAATTTAAAGGTAATTAACCTAAATAGCAAATATACTTATGAACCATTTTTATAATTTCCTAATAAACTAGAAAAATGAATCAAGATAAATGACATGTATTTAAAAAGCTATATCTAAGTATGTTTAAAATGTAGATACAAAGGAACTAGAATTTTTTTAACCAGCTTTCAACATATTCACCAATGTAATTGCAATAAAATCTCTCTAATAAGCATTTCTGGTTTGAAATTAACTACTGCACTTGCAATGTTTAAGTTAAAAAGATGAAAATAAGAACATACTCTCAAATCCCAGTATATTACACTTTATATGGGTAAGTTACTTGGGTTTCTTTAGTAAGCATACAAAAGACCATTACTTACGTCTTTTGTTTTTGTAACTGAGTTCTTTCCTCTTTGGTACTGTCCCAAGGAAAATAACCCAGAAGAAATTTCCATGCTTGTTTTCTCAATGCATGACTAAGTCCCTAAAGAAAATATGCATATTAAACACACTTGTAAAAAATGAATGCAATACTCTATCTTACAAAACTAGCATATAAACAGAAAAACTAACGATTAAGAGAGAGCTTCACATAGGCATACCTCATTTTACTGCACTCTGTTTCACTGCACTTCTCAAACATTGCATTTTTTTATTCAATTAAACATCTGTGACAAGCCTGTGTCAAACAAATCTATCTTTGTAATAATTTTTTAACAGCATTTGCTCATTTCATGTCTCTGAGTTGCAATTTGGTAGTTCTTGCAATATTTCAAGCTGTTTCATTATTATTATTTGTTGTGGTGATTTGTGATCAGTGATCTCTGATGTTACTGTTACTAAATCTTTTTGTTTGCATTTTTTAATTAAAATATGTACATTTTTTTTCTTAGACATGACACTGTTGAACAATCAATCAACTAAATACAATACAGAGCACAAGTGTAATTTTTATATGCATTGGAAAATCAAAAATTTGAGGGACTTGCTTATCTACAATATTCACTTTACTGAAGCAGTCTAGAACCAAACCCACAATATCTCCAAGGTAGTTTATACATATGAAAATAGCTCAAGTCAGTGACTACTGCCTTGTTTTTGACTTTGAGATTCTGACGGTGTAAGCAGCTGCCAGAAAACATGAACAGTGAAGAGTAAACAGGAGACCACAGAGCTGACAGCAGGCTGATAGTCTTTCCAAACCCAAATCTTACCAGAAAAGGCAGCTACCACAGAGAGACAACACCTCCTTCAGATCACCCACACAACTCCCCAGTAAGAAAGAGTGCCTTTCCACAGGCTTAGCAGCATAGCCCTAATACCCAACCCTCAAGGACATCACAAGCACCTCACTTTGTCCTACAGGGATTTGAAGATATCATTCATCAAAATGGAGTTCATCTCTCCAACATCTCAAAGGAAAAAGAAAACTCGAATACCAACAATTTAAAATACCAAAGTAATTACCCCTCTAAATATCATCTGCTTCATATTATCTACATTTAAAATTCTTCCTTCAGAATCAACGTTCTTAGTCCATTCTTCCAATGATACTGGCTCTCTCCTTTGAACAACAGGTCTTTCGCCCAAATCAATCTAAAATAGGAAGATAAGCAAAAAGAAGTACACCTTTAACAAGTGAAATAAATCAAAGTATATAGCAACTAAAACTAAAATACTATTACTCACACATAAGTTCTAACATTTCTAATATTTTCCCTTAGTTTCCAATGTTTAGTTTATAAACTGCACTAACACTCCATACATTTTTCCCTCCTAGTAAACACACAAATAACTGAGCTATAAATTCAGAAACAGAAAAGCATTTGCTACTTTGGGTTTCAATTACGTAAGTATAGAACATTCAACATACAAATTCTAAAACAAACCCTTCAAACTAAATGGTATGCTCTATTATTTAAAAAAAAAAAAGAGAAAGTACTATTCCATTCATATTCTAAAATTAACTTTCCTTCCAAACTAAAATTGGTAGCTCTCAGAATTGATTCATGATTCATTAGCTTCACATTGCATTTTATACAGTTTTTTATTCAATAATGTTGGTAATTTTTTTTAAATAATGTTGGTAATTTTTAAATGCCATTTGTAAGATAAGTTAAGTGTGTGTGTGTTAGTTGCTCAGTCACATCCAACTCTTTACGACCCCATGGATTGTAGCCCACCAGGCTCCTCTGTCCATGGGATTCTCCACACAAGAGTACTGGAGTGGGTTGCCATTCCCTTCTCCATTAAGTACTATAATTTAGATATTTCATAATGTTCTGTGTGGAGCCTAGAATTTTAACAAATTCAAAAGTCTTGTTGAGCATATGTAAAGATTTGACATAATTCAAGGCCAAAATCCATCTTACTTAAAAAGAAAATATTCACATCAGAATGAAAGCCCAAGAGTAGTGTCCTGACTCGCTGCCTGTGTAGAGTACCTGGGAAAACAAAAATCTGGAGCAGAATTATGGGCAACATGCAAGGCTTACTATTCACTCACTCCTATGCACTCAATGGAATTCCCTGGTGGCTCAGATGGTAAAGCGTCTGCCTACAACGCAAGAGACCCGGGTTCAATCCCTACGTTGGGAAGATCTCCTGGAGAAGGAAATGGCAACCCACTCCAGTATTCTTGCTTGGAAAATCCAATGGATGGAGGAGCCTGGTGGGCTACAGTCCATGGGGTCAGAGAGAGTCAGACACGATGGAGCAGCTTCACTATGCACTCAATGAAACGAACGACCTATTCATTATTATCAAAAAGTAGTCAAAGAAAAGACATCCAACACTGATGAATAGAAAAGGAAAGCAGCATAGTTGGTGAAGAAACAACCAAGAATCTGGTGGCAGGACAAGCTTGAATTGTTAGATATATTAGTTAGCAAAAAGTTATAAGAGAGGATTGTGAGAAAGAAGCCAGGTATGACCAAAACTGAATTTCTATTTATCATTTAATTTCTATATTTCTATAGAAATGCATTTCTGTAGCATTAAAAAGCATTTCTCCTGATAAAATAGAAGAGCTATATTAACATAAACTCCACTCACCTTTGTGATGACTTCAAATCCTGGTTCTTCTTGTTGATTTATCTTTAAACCTGGAATAGCATCACTAAGAAAATCTGCCATCTCTGAAGGTGGTCGCTGATGTACAGAAGGATCACTGCCTCTTAAACTATCAAAAATGTAGTTTGTGACTTTGGAAAATCCTACCATAGTTGCTGTATAAGGATCCTTTTTAATTTTCTATGCGGTAGGAAGAAAAATATTGGCACAGTTAATTCAAATGAACAATAAAAATACCTCATGATAAGCAAAAGGGCAAAGATTTTTAAAAAGGAGGGGGAATCAAAACTAAAACAGTATTCTAAGATTATTTTAAAATTTTGTTTCTTTCTGGGAAGAAAAATTTTAATTTTCTAAGCCAATTTTTTCATTTGGTTAAAATAGCATATTAAATGACAAGCTAACACTACTGATTGAATTGCAGATAAACAAATGATTTGCAGGCTTCATTCAATCTGCATACACCAGAAATATATGCAGTGCTTACTTTCCACTGATGAATGGCCCACAACAGCTTTCTTCTGTCTAGTAGTCCTGCCTTCACAAAAAAAAAATGCTTCTTAAAGTGTGCAGTACCACACTAATGTAACACAAAATATCTGACAGCTAAGTTTAAATACTCACAATATTTAAATATTAGCTGACATAATTATATACGGGTAACTCATGCCAGTAAGACTAATTTGTTCTGGACAGTGCTGTCCTAGAAAACAGTAAAAAAAATTTTTCTACTGCTAAAGTTATTTCTAAATCCCAAACTGCCTGCTTACTCATATTTAGCAAAAACAGCTACTTCTTAAAGGTCTATCTTTAAAATGATTATTTTTCATAACAAGGAAAAACTGTTCCCTTTTTTTTTTTTAATCAGCGTTCAAGAACTCTCCTGTCTTCCTTCCTAAAACGTCCCCACTTTATCATCAGAACCAAGAAAAGAACATCTAGGACAAAGTAAGCACTCAAACATTTGTTGAATGAATAAGTGAATATATACAAACACATGAGTCAACAAAACTGCCATTAAGTTTACATAGAAATCTGAGTGAAAAATTATCTTTAGTTCCGCCTGTGCTTTTCAGTCAAATTCAAGAATATACTCAAATACTTGGAAGAGGAATTAAACTAACCTGACCCCAAATGAACCTACTGAACTGGAAAATAAAAATTCAAACCAGATGATACATACTGTTTCTATAGTATGATACATACTATTTCCTATAAAATTATAGAGAATAGTTCCATAAAGTTTACACACAAACAGACATGTGCCTCATTCTGTATAATCGCTAGGAAAGTAAGAGGTAGCATGTATATAAAATAATGGGGTCAGACTAACAGATTAATACAAAATAGACTTAAGAAACATACTTGTATTATACCATATGCTGGTTCATCAAGAAGATTTTCAAAAGATTGTGAAAGACTCTTATTCTGACAATTCACAAGAAGTGTTCTTTTGTCCTGTGGAGATCTGCAATAAAAAAAAAGGGGGGGGGGCACTTTGTAGAAAACAGTATCACACTGTATCAGTGATACACGAATAATTACTAATGCATAGTTATTTTTCCTTAACAACAACAACAAAAAAAACCTTAAATGTCCAGCTCCAGGACAGTTTCCCATCAATACAGTATTAGCAAGTACTTAGTAACTATCTTAAGTGAGTTCCAAAACTACATGAAACTACTAAATTAACAAATAAAAAAAGATGAAGTATATTTCTATTTTATTTTATTCCAAGAGAACTAAATTATAATGAACCCAAACCCAAACTCTTGTTTAGAATATAGTAAAAAATCCTTACAAATATATCTTCCCTATTATAAGAATATATTTTCTCTTATGAAGAAAACTGAAATGCACTTCAGGATTCATTGGTATATGTAACATGTACACTGTAGGAAAACATCCTATTTTGAAATGGACACTTCACATTTGGGAGAATTTCAATATGAGATGTTAAAAATACAAGATAAAAAGATTACCTGTTAAAGATCATTAATTATGCAAATCATTATTATAACACACATGGTTGTAATGTACAGTTCACATAACAGTATATTTTTAGTTCTTGCTTATAAAGCTCTGGACACAAGTTTTTCTTCACATTTCCTAATAACTACAGAATAAACAAAATGCTTTCCAAAAAGAGACCTAATTTGAAGTAAACAAATGAATTATCCAGTCTTTTTTCTATTCAAAAGTTTTATAAGTTAGTAAGCCAGCTGTAATAAATCCACAACTTTTGTGTTTAAAAACAAAAATTAAATGCATTGTTTTGCTGCTATCTACCTCTAGTTTATTATAAAAACTTGAGATAAGAACTTCAGTATCAGTTCTCTCTTCTCAATTCTTACATAAGAGGATGCAACAGCAATTATGGGAGTACATGAAATCCAAAACAGATTTTACTCTTAGTCAGAACTCACTCCTCAGAGACAATAATAGCTTACTAAGCCCCTTGGCTTTTTAAAAGAGTTAAGGTTGAGTAATTTGAAGTAGAAAAAAAAATAACTTTTAAATGTTCGATTTTCATTAATCACTTTTCTGAATGTCTCCTGGAGGGGGGTGGTTCATGATTAACATGAAGACCTACAGGTTCTCACAAGGCATTTCTAAGTGATTGGTCAACTTGTAAATGAAGCATCAGAAAAAGAAAATAATTAATACAGGAACGTCTTTTTCCCTAACACAGTGGTGCTGGCGCTATGGTTACTTGTCTCTAAAAATAGTTTATATCAATTTTTTCTTTCACTACAAATAAGTGATCATGAAGTCAAAACACTGGCTTCTACATGTTGAAGGGGCGTACACATGCAACCTTCAGTTATCTGTGTCCAGCCAACTATTTGGCTCCAGATATAACACTACGGTCACAAGACCAGAGATGCAGAGAAGAAATGACTGCTCAACCAACAACCAACCACAGATACTTTTATAAAAGGAAGAATTTATCTTTTTATTTTTTTAATAACTAATGCTCTGTGGTGAGGGGCTAGAAGAAGTCACATTTTACTTGTTTGCCCCTAAAGAAATCAACAGAGCATTTTCTTCAAGCACACCAGTAGGACAGGCGATAAGATAGGCTGTTAAGCAGCCGCAGCGCTCACCAGGAGGCGGCCTGCATCCCAGAACACGGCCACATGCCCACCTGTCAGATCACCACACTGACTGCATCTGGGAGGATTAATTACTCTCTTCACATATTCTGGGGATTACAGATTCTGGGAAGTTGCTCACTCATAACAATGTTATTCAAGACTTTCAAAACCTCACTGCAGCAGTAAGATAGCACTTTTAATGATGCTAACATCACCAATTCTATTAGATCCCACTAAAGGGCTTAAAGAAAACCACTGTCTAACATCGTAACTATAGATGTATAATTACTGAAAATTCAGAAATACTTTGGAATGAGCCTCTCTCAAAGACTTCAGAATTCAGAAATTACAACAGCTGAAGAATGTTTGCACACTGAGATGTAATAGTAACTATTTTATATTGCTACTGAGATCAATAGGGAAAACTAAATAAATAACAATGCTGCAAAAGATACAAAGCAGAAAAGGTTAATAAAAAGGTACAGAATATTTACAGCAAAACTGTATAGTTTAATCCTATTTATATAATTTATATATAGGCTTCTCTGAGGGCTCAGTGGTAAAGAATCCGCCTGCCAATGCAGGAGACATGAGTTCAATCCCTGGATTGGGAAGATCCTCTGGAGAAGGAAACGGCAACCCACTCCAGTATTCTTCCCTGAGAAATCCCATGGACAGAGGAGCCTGGTGGGCTACAGTCCATGGGGTCACGAAAGAGTCGGACACAACAGCAACTAAACAAATGTGTACATATGTATGTATGAATATACACATACACACACACATAAATGCATCTCACAAAGAGAATATATGAGGGTCAAGAACCTAATCTCGTAAATGGCTGGTGTTATGATACAACCAATTTGGCTTTTTAAGGAAACATTTCACTGCTTGGATATTTATGTATTAATTTTTAAATGGCCCAATATATAAAATAATTTTAACAGAACCAATAACCTTCATTGACATCCTAACAACCAACTTGGTTCCAGAAAAATAACAAAAATGTTTCTGTGGCTCATTCTTTGATCCCACTAAATACGATGTTTTAAATGTTGGTAAGTCAGACAGTAAAGAACATCAACGAATAAGACAATTTGTTTTTCCCAGTAGTTAAGAAAACTAGTCGAGAAACTAGTTAAGTCTCAAGAAGCTGGCCTATTTTGCGCTGACTGATCCACTTAACATAAAATGAAAGAAGGAAATGTGCATAGCTGCCCCAGCCTTTATCTCACTAGCAAATCTGCAGTTGCCTTTCATCTGTATGGTTAAGGCCCTTAATTCATTACAGGGAGTATTAGGAAGACATCACGGCCAAAGATGAAAGCCACATTCTTTAATTTAGGTTAATCAGAGAAAAAAGATAACATAGTCTGATTCTACCTCTACTGATGTTTTGAACTCAGAAGAAGACAAGAAGGATGACCTGGGAACAGAACGGCCAGGATCTCAGTAAAGCTGCTGAAGTCAAGCTTTTCCTGGCCCACTCTCCTTCTGGTCTCTACAACAATTTGTGACCACAGGAACATGACTCTGAAAACACCATTTTGCTTAGGATAACTGCTCCAGTGACAGGAAATGACACCTAATAAAGTAAAAAATGGGGGATAGCTGGGAATTTTCATTTCTTAGGACTTAACTGGAAATTCCATTTATTGGGATCCTAAGTTGTGAACATAAAAAAGAAAAACCTTTAGTATCTCCCTAAGAATCTGATAACAAGAGATGGCTTATACAAATTTGTTAGTTATTTTTATACTGGTGACTGTTTATCTGGAATTTCTAATATCCTACCACCTGGACTCGGCATACAATCTCTGGTAACCTACATGACACAATGTAATTGGGCACAATTTATGATGGGAAAAAGATTAGGGGGTGCTTATTTTCTGCCTGGGGTACAGAGGGGCCTGGGGATAAAATATTTGATGTACATTTCAGGCCATTCAGGGGCAAAGAATAAACTGGCCCCCAGTGTCACAGGAGAATACACAATAGAGAAGTGGCTGGTATTAGGGATGTAGCTTTTAAAGGACTCACTTTACACTGCTATCTCCTCCCCTAGAAACAGTCACATCCTTGGTTGACCAAAATGTGATAAACCCTGGTGGGAAGAGAGAAAACAAAGTGTTGGGAGTCAGACTCCTCTGCTAGGGTCTTCTCTTTGACCAGGTCATTAAAGGCTGTAATTAATCACTTAAGCTCACATTCTGTCCCATTTTATCCTCTCCTTAGGTAATCTCATTCTCTCTCAGAGCTTTGATTACTAGTAACACATACAAACACACAAACTTACATATTATCCTATTATAGGCTATATTTCACTGTGCTAAATTTCTCATTCATAGCACTTGAACAGCTGAAAATTTACATTGATTTGTATAAGCAATGTTTGTCTTTCCTGCAAATAGCACAAACTCCATGAAGACAGAGGCCATATCTTTTTTGACTAAGTGCTCCTTTCCACCACTTAGTATGATGACTAGGACATGGTGGGTCCTCAGTAAAAAAAAAAAAAAAATACCTGCTGAATGAAAAAACAGAGGGGGAACACCATTCCCACGGCTTCCTATTTCCAGGTGGATGCACACACATCTAGTGAAGACCTATCTGACTGCCGAGAACAGAAAAGAGGGAGGTGCACGTGTGGCGTGGCCCCTGCAGGCTCTCTTTACCTCTGGGATCTGCCCGCCAAGGGAGAAGGTGGCTTCGAGCCTGCCCTCACTAGGGAGAACTGTGATTGCCCAAAGGTGGTAACTGGATGAACTCAACAATGATTTGGGCTGAATTATTATGAGGCTACATATCCAAGCCTCACCAATAATGATATTTTTATCACCATCTGTCTGATTCTTACATTTACTTCTCTCTTGTTTACAAATACAGAGAAGGGAACATAGTTTCACTTACAACAGTCATTAAAACATCAAGAACACATATTTAAGGTACATATTCTCTTTTAAGCACCTAAGTGATTGTTCAGTCTATCCTTGAACTCATCCAGGACAGAAAACTCTATCCCTCGAGCTATTTTCTTCTAATTTCTATTTCTGGAGCTATCCCCTTCTAACTTATCTATTTATCTTTGGAGTCCAGTTTATTTAACAATGCTTTCAAAATTATTTGTACAACTGGTAAGTATCATGCCATTTATTCATGCAACTAAGATTTACTGCACAAATACTACATGCCAGGCATTCTGGTTAGGAATTCAGGATAAAATGTAAACAATATATATACAATCCCTCTCTTTAAGGGCTTATATCTAGAGTAGAATATAACAGAGGTAGACAGACAAAATTATTTCATTCTGTTAAGGGCCATGAAGGAAGTAAACAAAGGAATGAGAAAGCAAAAAGGCACGGTAGTGGGAACCTACATTAAACACGAGACTAAGCGCCAAAAAAGCCCCTCTGAGGAAGTGACGTTAAACTGAGACATCAGGGATAAGAAAGAGAGAAAAGAATCTAAGCAAAAGAAACACATACATACAGGACTTAAGAAAGAGTTTAAGGCATTTCAGGAACTGAGAGAAAACCGTGTGACTAGAATACAGAAGAGAATGGCATGAAGAAAGGCTTAAGAAATAAGCAGAGCTAAGACAGGGCAGGTCACTGAGCATAGTAAGAAGCCTGGCTTTTATTTAACGGTGCAGCATTAAACTCTTCTTCTTTAAGTTAAATCCCCACATCCTTCTAGTGTTTTTCATGATACCATTTTGATCCCTCTTATTATACTAGTCATCTTTTCCATGTAGTATAGTCAGTCTATATATTTAAATGAAGTGTTTAAGCCTAGTTCTCCAAAGTACAATCTTACGAGGATAGAGGGTGGAGAAGGCAATGGCACCCTACTCCAGTACTCTTGCCTGGAAAATCCCATAGATGGAGGAGCCTGGTAGGCTGTAGTCCATGAGGTCGCTGAGTCGGACACAACTGAGCGACTTCACTTTCACTTTTCACTTTCATGCATTGGAGAAGGAAATGGCAACCGACTCCGGTGTTCTTGCCTAGAGAATCCCAGGGACGGGGGAGCCTGGTAGGCTGCCGTCTATGTGGTCGCACAAAGTTGGACACGACCAAAGCAACTTAGCAGCAACAGCAGGATAGAGGGACTACCATTTCACTGCAGGGAGTATGTGCCAACCACAGTCTCAGCTTACCTAACTCTTTTTTTTTTAATTAGTTGGAGGCTAATTTCTTTACAATATTGTAGTAGTTTTTGTCATACACTGACATGAATCAGCCATGGATTTACAAGTATTCCCCATCCCGATCCCCCTTCCCACCTCCCTCTCCACCCAATTCCTCTGGGTCTTCCCGGTGCACCAGGCCCGAGCACTTGTCTCATGCATCCAGCCTGGGCTGGTGATCTGTTTCACCCTAGATAATATACATGTTTCGATGCTGTTCTCTCAAAACATCCCACCCTCGCCTTCTCCCACAGAGTCCAAAATTCTGTTCTGTACATCTCTGTCTCTTTTTCTGTTTTGCATATAGGGTTATCGTTACCATCTTTCTAAATTCCATATATATGCGTTAGTATACTGTATTGGTCTTTATCTTTCTGGCTTACTTCACTCTGTATAATGGGCTCCAGTTTCATCCATCTCATTAGAACTGATTCAAATGAATTATTTTTAATGGCTGAGTAATATTCCATGGTGTATATGTACCATAGCTTCCTTATAAAAAATATGGAACACTTCACAAATCTTCATGTCATCCTTGGGCAGGGGCCATGCTAATCTTCTCTGTATCGTTCCAATTTTAGTATACGTGCTGCTGAAGCGAGCACTTACCTAACTCTTAACAGTTACATCCCAACAGTGAGCAAAAGGAGCTTGCTCTGATGCTAAAACCCCCAAAGAGCCAAGCCTTCTGCCCCAGTTATGACGATGCTCCTTCTGAAATCCACTTAACCTCACGGGTGGTAGCCTATTCACAGTTTCTCAGTTCAAGATCCAAGACCCACATTCTACCAAACAGATTTGACTTTCTCATGGTTACAGTTACTCATCAGCACGCCCAGTGTCAGCCAGAGGTGGTCAACATGCAAGGGAGGAGAACTCCAGCCGAAAACAGGCAATATGTCTCAACTTCTGGATCCCTCCTAGCTTTGTATAATCTACATTTAGGCATGATGTTTCTCTATCAAGGCGAGGGCATTAATATTCATAAAGTTAACAATCATCCTTAAAGTTTCCCAAACAAAAATCTCTTCCTAAAAATCTCAACTTCTCCCTTTTTTCACCTCCACATATCCAATCAATCGCAAACTCTAACATTAAATATTCTTCCAATACTTCTTTCCTATTGCTCTCCTAGTTCATGCCACCATTAACTCCTCTAGATGACTGGAACAACCTGCTAACATGTCTGACAAGACCCTTCACTCTATGGCCTTTACTCAGCTCTCTGACCTCATCTTTAAATCTGGTGTCCTCCCTTCTCCCACTATGCAGACCTGTGATATTGAACTACCCTGTTCCATGATAACAGCATGTTGCATGTTCTTCCCTCTATCTAAAACATCTCTGCTCTAAGTATCTCCCTCCCTTTCATGCTAACGTTCACTCATTTGTCAGGTTTCAACCTAAACATTACCTCCTCCAAAAAGTCTTCCCTGATACCTACCCAACTCCCCACTGAAGTACCATTCCTCTCTTCTTTGTACTTCCTCCATCTTAGTTCTTGAGTTTTACTGATATTTACTGATCAGCCATCTTCACTAGACCATACACTTGCAGATATCCAGGAACATGCCTATTTTGTTCACTTCTAAATATCAAACAACCAGCACAGTGCTCAGAACACAGTAGATATCAAAAATGTATTTGTGGAGAGTGAAATCGAGAAAAACTATGTGAACAAACACCTGCATAAATAAATTTAAGACACAAGATTTATGGAAAGTGAGAATGCCCTAACTTCCACACTTAGAATAATTTTATAAAGGCCTTAAATTTGCCTGCCTTAAATCTGTAACATTACAAACGAAACTCTACATTTAAGAGAAACTATGTAAAAGGTAAAATTGGTAAATATATAACCCATTAACTACTGATGTATCATCATACATTTAAATGTGTATTAAAAATACTGGACCATTTTTTTCTTTAAAGGAGTAATAAGGTGATACACTGCAGACCCAAATCACTAAATTGGCAAAATGTTATTCATTCATCCAAAACAGTCAGTATTCCAGAAAGAGCAAAGCTGCTTGTCCCCTAATATGCACATGGGTCACTGATACCCAACAACAAGTGAAAACAGTTTGCCTTGGGACCAACACAACAATCCAGTTTCAGTAAGTAGAAAATAATTTGATACTTACTCACATAATGCCACATATTTTTCAAGACAGTCAATCAGTAGTTTGCTGTCTCCTTGATGAAAGTGCAGAGCAGGGAGAACGACGTCATCCTTTAGACAGAATACCAAATATGACCAGCCCATACCCTCTTTGTTTTGCTTGATTGATTTCAGGTCTGTCAAACTGAACAGGAATGACCATTTGCTTTTCCCATTTCTACGACTTGGAGCATCTTAAAAACAAGAAAGTGGGGCAAAATATTTTTGTTCACCTTTTTAAAAGGTACTGACAGCACTCTTCACGACTGCCTAACAGAAATTTGCTGAACCTAGGGAATGACTGCAGCATTCATATTACCATGGCTTCCACCTGTATTAGAAATGGCAATAAACACTTTCTTTAAAAAACAGTCTTTAAAATAATTATCTTACTGCATACAAACTGAAAAAAATGCTATCCTTATTTAAAATATCAGCTTTGCCCCAAAATGACAGTGGCTTTAGAAGCAGGTTGGCTGGATTCAAACAGCAACACATCCATACTAACTGAATGATTTGCAGCAAATCTCTCTGAGCCTCAGTTTCTTCATCTGTATAATGGAGATAATTATACTTACCTCCCACTGTTATTCTAAGAATTAAAAAAATAATACTTGTCAACTAACTACTATGGTGTCAAGTATATAGCAAATAATAAATATTCATCCTCTCCACTTCCCTCAAAAACAAATCAAATGATGCACTTCAACAGTCATTTAAAACAAAAACCACCCTTTATTCCTCACATCCAATTATTTTTAGCAGACTACACTGAGTGAAGGTAAAAGTATGCCAACATAAAAAGTAACACTGGAGTGAATACATAGACTAACATTTGTAAAACCCCACAAAATAGTGGGAAATTGAGGATGAAAGGTAATCAAGTTGTGAATGCTTCAAAAAGAATGAACACATTCAGTATCACTGCTAAAATCAACCTTTTATTAAATTAAGACCTCAGTTCAAATCAAACTATAGCTATGTAAAATAAAGCATTTCCTAGTATTTGGGCTCTTTAGAGAGGCTTAAAATCCTAGGTTTGTGAATAATATCATAATCAATAACAAGCAATTTAAAGATCATCTATTTAAATAAAAATGTAAAGAATAAAGGAAAAAATGCTATCCAATACTTGTAATTAAGTTCTTATCTAAAAATGTCATTTTAACATTTTAACTCAGACCTTAAGCAGGAAAGCTTCTGAAATCTTAAAAAACCCTTTCTTGACTATTATTTCATAAGAAGTGTCATACTATCCTGTTATTGAAAATCGTCACTAATTCTGTCCCAACACTACCAATTTCACAAAGATAAACCACAAAGATAATATTTGCTTACAGAAGTTAAATTAATCAAAGGGTAGATCAGTCAGTACTGACCTGAATGTATGTCACCTTCCTATATAGTCAGGAACATTACAGCTCCATCACCTCCAACAAACTCTCCTAAACTGACACAGAGTAATCTACACCTTACAGAAACCTCTACTTGCAGGGAATGCAGACACCATCACACTTTCATGGATATGTGATCAAGTGATACCTTTAACAAGTATCACTTGAAAGAAAGTCCAGAAAGGCTAAAGTAAATTATCTACGCAGTGACCTGCTGACTTCCTGTTCAGATGGTGAACTCATATCCAAGGCTGATAACAGACTCAGTAGTATGTGCCCATTTTACTACACATCATGTTTCACTGGAATTTATATTACAGGGCTCATAACAGCATTACAAACGAACAGCAAAGTGAGAACAATTCTAGAATTCCAACATGAGTCACCTACATATGAATGTATCTGGACTACCCAGAAAGGATTCATACTACTAGATTATCTACAAAGACAAAAATATTTTCACAGCAAAACAACAGTGAGAAATTAGATGCCATTTTTAAATTAAGCTCTTAAATTACACAAAAAGTATTTAATTCAAAGTAATGCAAGAAAATCATATGAAGATTATTAAATAACATATGAAGACTATACGAACTATCAGAAGTTTGTGCATATTCCCAAACTAAAAATTTTATGCAGATTTTCTCTTGCTAATAGAAGAAAAACACATTACATGCTAAATACAACAGAAAATGCCTCACACATTTCCTCATTTAAAGCTCTGATAAATGATGAGAGAAACATTACAAGTCAATTCTAGAAGTCCCTTTACTAGAGTGTAAGTTTCCTGAAAACAAGAACTTAATTCTGTTCACAGCTATATGCCCAGTGCTTAGAAAAGTGACTAGCACATAGTAGGTATTCAAAGGTGTGTTATATAGAATAACAACCTAGTACCAAGTCAGCAGAAAAGTAACGTGCAATCTGGTCTACCAATGCAAGCTAGCCAGAACTAGAAATTGTCACAGAAGAAAACTAACAGAACCTAAGAGTTAACCCAAAATTTCCTTCTTTCTCCTTAGAGAAAGGTAAATAAAACTAATTAGTTCTGATGAACTTACCATGTTGCCAAATACATGGAAAAAATACCTTCAACACACTGACATGGGAAAACTGGCTATAACAGAAGAAAAGTGAATAAAATAGTAGGTCTCCGCATGTCTTAAACAGAGTTAACATGAAGGTCATGACATTTTACTTCAATAGGTTTCCAGAACATCATGGCAGTCTGTTATTCTGGAAAGATGTATTTTCAAAACATTTGATCTAGAATATAAAAACAAAGACTTAGGAGTATATTTCCTAAGAAATATAAACTTAAAAAAAGTTTTCAATAGTTGACTTTTTTAAGGTTTGCCTCTGTAAATCACACAAAAAAAGTAAAAAATGTGAAGGCTATAATAATAAAATTAAAAATTTTATTTGAAAAACTGCTTTTCAAAAATGAAAAAAAATTTAATGGCTTAATTTTTAACTCTGAAACATTAAGATTAGAAAATGTCTTAAGAAGCAGTTTTTATGAAACATGACTGGATGAGGTTAAAATGAGATGGAATGGGATGAAATGGAAGACATGTACTTCATTAACTCCTTGTTCTGTTAAATATGTACATGTGTTTGCACACTGGGCCATACTGTGCAATATATTTCTTACTGTTATCATAAAATTTTTTAAGTAATGGAGAAAACAGAGAAAAAGAAAATGTGTCCTTAACTTTTGATAATTACTAAATAAAGGCTCTTTACAAGCCATCATACAGTGCCAAGATATACAAGCAGTATTTATGTCTGCTACTTGCTAAGCTACGCAGTACGCTGTTACACAGACACACTCAACTCTGCACACTAAAATCACCAGAAGAAGAATACAGGCGCTTGGGCCCCATCTCCAGAGGATGATTTAATTTGCTGGATGAAACCCAAGCACTGGTACTTTCTTGATTTCTGGGTTTTTTGCCATGCATCCAGGATGTAGGACCTTAGTTCCCCAACCAGGGATCAAACCTGTGCCCTGCAGTGGGAGCATGGAGTCTTCCAACCACTGAACCACCAGGGAAGTCCCAACTGGTACTTTTTTTTTTTTTTTTTTACTTTTTTTAAAAGCTTAACTTCCCCATGTGATTTCAATGCACAGCCAAAGTTAAAAACCATTAATCTAAAAAGATGTTTACTATCAGATATTTTTCTCAAACATGTATTTCAAAATTTCCTTTATGAAATTCTGAAAATTCACTCATTTTGCCCATTTCCGTAACTTTTTCATTTTCAAGGATTTAGCAATAATATTAGCCAATGAAAAATAGCAATTCACATCAACCAATCCTGAAGGTCTGATCTAGAGAACTTAAAAATCCCTCAAATGCTAAATATACTAAAATTCTGTGGTTTTCTTTTCATAACTAGGCTCTTTCTTGAGGTTTCAACCCACCTATTTGGACTACTGTATTTCTATAAGAGAAAGCTAGCCCTAGCTCATAGGCTTCCCAGGTGGCGCTAGTGATAAAGAACCCGCCTCCAATGTAGGAGATGTAAGTGAAGTGGGTTCGATCCCTGGGTTGGGAGGGATTCTTCTTTCACTGGAATTTATATTACAGGGCTCGTAACAGCATTACAAACGAACATCAAAGTGAGAACAATTCTAGAGTTCAATTCTAGAGAACAATTCTAGTTCTCACTGGAAAGAGGGATTTTTTCTCCCCAGGAGAAGAAAATGGCAACCCACTCTAGTATTCTTGTCTGAAGAATCCCATGGACAGAGGAGCCTGGCAGGCTATAGTCCATGGGGTCACAAGAGTAGGACACACCTTAGTGACTAAACCACCATGCATATATGCTTTCTTTTTTTTGGCATTCCTATTCTACAGGGAAGGTTCTCATCAGAACAATGTAAAAATGTTATGAAAAGAAAACCACAGGACTTTAGTATATTTAGCATGTGAGGGAGTTTTAACTTCTCTAGATTAGACCTTCGGGGTTGGTTTATGTGAACTGTTATTTTTTGTTTGCCTAATATATGCATAAGCTGATTGTTAAAAAAAAGCCTGTGATTTACTATTTAATTGCTACTGTTCCCAAGAAATGATACAGTACAAAGTGTAACTACTGTATATGAGAACGATTCCACAGGCCATATATGAAAATCAATTTTACTTATATTATCATAGCAATACATATATTAAACATAGCAATATATGTTCTTGTAAACATAGCAATACATATTGAACATAGCAATACATATTCTTGTAAACTTTGGCTAGCCTCTTTGACTTCGGTAAAATGCCGACAAATCCTAAATTCAGACCAAAATCATTAAAAGATCAAATATCCTATTACTTACAAAATACAAAGAAATCAAAACAAAAAAAATTTAACTCTTTAGAGTGTTTAATATTTTTTAAAGAGATCACAAGTAAGTTGGCCACATCACAGACAGGCTAGCTAGCTTGTATCTGGGATAGTATATGTATGTGTTCTACCAGACTGCTGGCTTGGTTCTTTCTTGTTATCTATATGTAGACAGTCACCACACAGCAAACATAAATTTATATACAAAGGAGAACAGCCACTGAACATATACATAACGGGGAGACTGCAATGAGCTGTGATGATCCCAGTAAACACTGAAATTAGAATGATATGGTTTAGTGGTATACTCCATCTCCCCCTGGTGCTTCAGGATGAAATAACATGAGTTTTTTTAATTCTACCGAATTATGAAAAATGTACATGAGAGACAACCAAAGCAATTTTTAAAGTGTTTCTATTTTATGCCATTAATAATTTCAAACAGAACAAGTACTTTATGAAGTCACAACCGAGGAAACAAAAAGATGATAAAGGAATAAAAACATAAGAGTTATACATATTAATCAAAGCACCAAATCATCCTTCCTCTAAGGAGCATGAAACCACTTTCTTTGCACTTTTGTTTATACTGTAGCAAATCAGTTTAAGATTTCAAAAGACTGAAGTCATACCTCCATTAGTATGTGGTTTCTTTTTAAATGAAACTGTATTAACCATGTCCCACTCTGCTTCGTAACTGTTCAGATGTTCCGCTACTCGATGAGCTCTTTCTTTTGGGGCCTGAGTCCATTCTACAACTGAGCTGGAGTCCTAAAATAATTATAACATATAAAATATTTAGGGACTAAGACTACAATTTCACTTCAATCAATAATGTCTTCTCAGTTCTATATAAATTAAGTTTGTAGGTTGTGGCAGACATCACTGGTGGGAAAACTGAACACTATTTCCTATCCTTTCTCCCTTGTTCAAGAAAACAAAAAAAGAAAAGCGTGTCCAGACTCTTTTGCAGATAGAGTTATCAGTGAAATATAAGCTAAGTGAACAGTAGGCCTTGGGACTGCTTTGATTTTCCTAATAAAAGCCTTATCCCTTTGCCCCTACTTCCTGCTTTCGATGCAGCTATGTTGCTAAAAATATAACAGCCACCTTACAACCATAGAGAAAAAGCAAGAAAAATACTGCGAAGAGCTCCAAACCGCCAGACTTCTCGTTATTTGAGGAAAACAGCCAACAGTAACCACTTATTGAGGTCATCATCATTGGTAATTTTGATTAAGAGAAATACACTCTTAATCAAAATTACCTAAAAGCTACTAATAACATATCTACATGTTTAGTCCTAAAGAATTTTGTTTTAAGAGACTAAAACAAAAAAACAACCAAAAAACTAAAAAAAAAAAAAAACCAAGTCTAAAATGCAACATTAATAATTTGACTAAAGCAAAAAATTTAACTTCTAGTCAACAAAAGATACTACACATAAGTTAACGATAAGCAAAATGTGTGAAATCTTTCTAAAATACATAGAAGATGACTGAAAAACATCCAGAATACAAAAATAACCCCTACCAACTTACTTAGAAATCAGCAAATATCAAAAGAGAAAAGGAAACAGCATGAACAAGCAAATCAAAGAAGAAACATGAAGTGACAAAGAAAGAAGTCCAACTTCAGAAACAAAGAAAAGCAAGATGAATTTCTATTTTTATGCCCCCTTCAATTAAAAAATAAAATACAGAAGACAGTGTGAGGAAATGCTATCTCACACTGTTGATAACAGTGATAACTAGTACTGACTAAAATGAAAATTGAGTCATATTTATTAAAATTTAAAATATGCATATTTCACAATAACTTTATCTACATTAGAGAAATAAACATGTATACAAAGAGGCAGATATAAGAATTTTCATCATAACATTGCTTGTAAAAGTGAAAAGCTGAAAATAACTTATTATCCATCAATGAAAGAATAAGTAAATAAACTAGGGGTAGCCAATAAAATGCTAGGCAGAAGTAAGTAAATAAACTAGGGGTAGCCAATAAAATGCTAGGCAGAAGTTTTAAAGATTGATATCTATTCATGTATATTTATGTTCAATATGTAAAAGTAAATAAAAGGAAATCATGAAACAATGTATGCAGTATAACAACTACATGGAACATACATAATTAGAATCACACTAGAGAAAACCAGGGATGATGGATGGATGAATGGATATAGACAGGTATACAGATAAGGAAGGAAATGTGTACTGATAAAAGTCTGGAAAGATACACAGTAAACAGGGACAGATGAGGGATGGGGTTCTAGTCAAGGAGGGCTTCAACTTTCTATTATTCAAATTTTTACAATGTGGATTACTAGTGTAATTCTTTTCAAAAATGGAAAAAAGATTTTATAGGAACAGGAATATATTATTAAGAAACAAAAGAAATTAGTAAGGAATAGAAATGGACTGAAGAATAGGGGGAAAAAGACTGAATGAATGAAATTATAAAGTGGAGTGCTTTTTCCTGAGTCCTTCCACAAATGTCACTTCTCAGGGAGTCCTCCATGTTTGCCCAATTTTAAAAATGCAACCTTTACCACCATCACTACCAATAAAGAGGAAAGCTAAGTAGCATTTACAGAACCCAACCCCACCCGAAGGCTTGGACCTGGTGAATCAGGTACGTTTGGAAACTAGAATAAAGGTCAAGCTGAAAAAAGGACTACTAACAAAAGTCCAGAAAGCTGGAGGTTTATTCACTGGAAAAGGTAAAACAGATTCTCTCTGGATTACAAGAAACCTGGGACACTGAGCAAAGAGATAATACACTAAAAACAGGAGAATGAATCAAAAGTTCATCAAACAAGTAGCAAGACTCCCAGCTCTCTTCCTCCACTCAGTTCCCAGAACAGTAGAATCCAGTTTTCTCTCTTCAGGCAGAAATCTGTAGACTCTTCTCTGACCAATGACCAGCCCAAGAAAAAAGACCCAGGTTTCAACATCAGGGATTCCCCAAGCAAAGAGCCTAGCCAGGTCGCCCTGAGTCCCAACTATGAACAAACCTATCCATACACTGAGAGAGTATGATCAGTTTCTCGTGTGTGCTGTTTATTAGCACCAAGTACAAAGATCACCAAACAAAGGCAAGTGTCTACATAAATGATAAAAGTCTAAATGAAACAGAGGAAAAGATAGTGAATTACAGAAAGTGGACTATATACAGAAATGAAAACATCTAAAAAATTATCCTTAAATTCCTCAGAAACAAGGGAATCATAGATGAATAACATCCAAGAATAGGATGCAAGTTTTCTTTTAAAGGGGGGAAAGGGGACACATAACAAGATGCACTCAAAATTTAAAAAACAGCAAAGATGAAAATGGTTCCAAAAGAATTGAAACATAAGACTAAAGAAATTTCCTAGAAAATAACATACACATATACAAAGAATCAGAAAATAGTAAAGTATTAAAATACTACAGGACCAATATAAAACATGTAGAGGGTTCCAGAAACAATGAAAGTATAAAATGGACAAAAAGAAGAAATCACCACTAAAACAATTCAAGAACATTTTCTAAAAATGAAAAGATACAAGTTTTCATATTAAAAAGGACTATCAAGTACCCACACAGAGGATAAAAAGGACCACAAGGGCACATTTCCAGGACAACTAGAACACTAGAAACAAAAAGGTAATTCTAAAACCTTCTAAAGAGGAAAAAAATATAGTAAGGATCAGGATTCGAATACATTAGACTTAACATCAATAAAGAAAATAAGTGAAATGTAAAGACAGTAACTTCCAAAAATATGGGGGTAATTTATTTTCATACTATAATTCTATGCCAGCCAGTCATCAATTCAGAACTGACAGCTCAACCCAAATGTTCATAGGATAAAAACGTCTGAAAACAGAGACACCTTTGGTCTCACACACGCGTTTTCTCGGGACGCACTGGAGGTGCACCAGACCTAGAGAGTACGCCAGGAGAGAAGACAGCACAGGCGACAAGAGACGGGGTAAAACATGGGAAGGAGGCCAGAGGAAGCCAGACCATTGCTACACAGCAAACCAAAAGGGCAGCCAGTTCAGGAGGACCGTGGAAGACAAGTCTGCAAGAAACGTCTCCAAGAAGATGAAATTAGATCGTCTATGTGACTAATACTTTGAGAAGAAATGTGGACAACTGAGCCACAGTTTCAGGGTGAATTAGAGATAAGAGAGCTAAATCCCTACCTTCCACAGTGAGAACTCAACATGTTAGACACAGTAAACATAAATTAATCCAACTATCCTGTTTCTAGGTTTTCAAGGAAAATATGTCCACAAAGAAATTTGAACCTAATCATGCAGAGGAGCATTATTTAGATTAGCCTAAAGATGAAAACAACCCAAATGCTCATCAACTGATGAATGAATAAACAAAATATGGCACATATCCAGAAATGCAGTATTATTCAGCAAAAAGGACAAAAAGGAAAGAACAGACAGGGGCTAGAACATGGATGAACCTTGAAAATATTATGCTACATATTATATGATTCCATTCAGATAAAATGTCCATAATAAGCAAATCCTCAGAGACAGATAGTAAATTAATGAGTGAAGAGTATTAGAGTTAAGTGGGAAAGAGAGGTGACTGCTTTTTTGGAATAGAAATGTTTTAAAGTTGCTTATTGGTGATAGTTATACAATTCTGTAAATATACTAAAGAAACTGAGTTATGGCCTTTAAAAGAGTGAACTTTATGGTATATGAATTATATCTTAATAAAGCTTTTATTTAAAAACGTCATTCCTTTAGTAATATATTTCTTCCTTAAATACCTTTCCAGCATAGAGAATACTAGAAGAATCTAATGCATCATCCAGTGGTCTCCAGTCCACTATTACTTCAGCATCCTAGAAAAAAAAATTATTAACCATATTTACTCTTCAGCAATATCTTATTTTTCAGTCACCTATAGTTAATTCCCTGAACCAAAAGTGAAATTTTTTGGGGGGGAGGGCTGCACCACAAGGCATGCAGGACCTTAGTTCCCCGACCAGGGCTTGAACCCATTTCCTCTGCATTGGAAGCTCAGATTCTTAACTACCAGACTACCAGGGAAGCCCCCAAAATGAATTTTTAACCTCTTAAATTTATTAGCACCCTAATATGCATATCATATGTAAACAACCACTATTTGACAACAAACAATATGCAGATTTCTAAATTCCAATTTTCATTATAAAGAATTATATTACTGCAACTTTTCCATAGTAAATTTAAAAATATTCCATGCATTTTACTGGCTTATCTGAAGCATTTTATTTCTAACATCACTTTCATGTTAAATTTACAACCACTGTTCAATTATATAATTTTCTCTTACAAGTGAAATTCAAACTTGCTGATAATGTCCCAATTACTATTAAACAACTATTTTTAAAAATTTATTTAAACAAACAATTGTTAAATAAAGTCATTTACTAGAAACATACCTTTTCTAAAACACGTAATATTCCTGAAATCAAGCTGTCCTGGTCATTGGTCTTTCCCAAAGATGAGTGAATATAGACCCCTTCCTGTTCATATATAATCTGAAACAGCAAAAATAAGATTAATCAAACCATTTTTATGCAGTACTATCTCAACGTTTGTCTTAAAATATTTAAGAGATATTTTTCTATAATGCCTGAACCAAGTTTTTTATTATTTCATATAAAAGTGTATTATCTTTTCTTTTTTAGTTCTTCCAGTTTATTGCTACCAACCCATCTCCCTCCACCCTCATGCACACATGCCCAGTCATGTAATCCCATGGACGTCAGCCCGCCAGACTCCTCTGTCCATGGATTTTTCCAGGCAAGAATACTGGAGTGGGTTGCCATTTCCTTCTCCAAAAAGTGTATTATCTTAAAAATATTATTGAGACTTAAAAACACTTCAAACATAAATTAGAAAGGAATTTGCTTTGTTACACATGCAAGTCTGGTGATATGTAATCACAATCTTGATCTTCTCCTTAGACAAAGATGTCAAGCTAATTGTTGTGTGACACTATATGCAAATTTCACATAACATATTTTTAACAAACATTAAGCAAAGTATTGGGTTCAACCTGAAAATATTAAAAATAAGAACATGAAATATAATGAGAAATTAATTATTTCTAACTATTCCTATAACACAGCATATGTTTTTACCGTAAGTTTATTTTGGTGTGCTTTTTCTAGGCCTAGAAATTCATGGAATAATATGGGAATATTAAAAAGTAATAACGAGGCCTTCTTGGGATGATCAGAGCTAGTTTAGGCTCATAAACACTTGCTGAGCGCCTCTATATGGAAGAGCATATAAAAAGGTAAGTTAAGACTATGACAGGCTTCCCTGGTGGCTCAGTCAGTCAAGAATCCGCCCACAATGCAGGAAACCTGGGTTCGATCCCTGGGTTGGGAAGATGCCCTGGAGGAGGGCATGGCAACGCACTCCAGTACTCTTGCCTGGAGAACCCCATGGACAGAGGAGCCTGGCCGGCTGCAGTCCACGGGGTGGCAGAGAGCTGGACACGCCTGAGGGACTGAGCACACAAGACAGGCCCCAGTACCACGTCCCACAGGAGTACAGGGGAGACCAGTTACCTCCTGAGTAAACAAGATGCTTATGAAGTTAAATCTTGTTTGCTAAAAGCATTATCTGATATATTAAGATTCTATCTCTGACCCATTTCAAACCAGTAAAAATTACTTCTCATTATGAAAATAAGTAAAAGGAAAATAAAACAGTCACTCCCAGACCTAAGTAATTTTGACATAACTTTGGAATATAGTCTACTTTCTATTTATGTAGATCTTTTATCAATACAATCACACTATTCAAAATAGCACTTGTTGTTGTTGTTCAGCCACCCAGTTGTGTCGGACTCTGCAAACCCAGGGACTGCAGCACGCCAGGACTCCCTGTCCCTCACCATCTAACGCAGTTTGCCCAAGTTCATTTCCATTGCAATGGTGATGCCATCCAGCCATCTCATCCTCTGACACCCTCTTCTCCTTATGTCCTCAATCTTTCCCAGTCTCAGGGACTTTTCCAATAAGCCGGCTATTCGCATCAGATGACCAAAATCCCAGAATTCCAGCTTCAGCATTGGTCCTTTGAACAAGTTTTCAGAACTGATTTCCCTTAAGGTTGACTGGTTTGATCTCCTTGCTATCCAAGGGACTTTCAGGAGTCATTTCCAGCACCACAGTCCAAAGGCATCAATTTTTTGGTGTTCTGCCTTTACAGTCCAGCTCTTACAACCATACATGACCACTGGGAAGCCCATAGCCATGACTATATGGACCTTTGTCAGCAAAGTAATCTCTCTGTTTTTCAACACATTGTCTAGGTTTGTCAGTTTTCCTGCCAAGAAGCAATCGTCTTCAGATTTCATGGCTGCAGTCACTGTCACAGTGATTCTGGAACCCAAGAGGAAAACTGTCACTACTTTCACCTTTCCCCCTTCTATTTGCCATGAAGTAATGTGGCCAGATGCCATGACCTTAGTTTTTTTTAATATTTAGTTTTAAGCCAGCTCTTCACTCTCCTCCTTCACCGTCACCAAGAGGCTCTTCAGTTGATCTTCACTTTCTGCCATTATAGTAGCATCATCCGCATATCTGAGGTTGCTGATGTTTCTCCTGCCTATCTTGATTCCAGCTTTAACTCACCCAGTCCGGCATTTGTCAGGATGTCCTCAGTCTATAGGTTAAACAAAAACAGGGTGACAGCAGACAGCTCTGGCATACTCTTCTCTCAATCTTGAACCAAACAGTTGTTCCATACATGGTTTTAACCGTTGCTTCTTGACCTGCATACAGGTTTCTCAGGAGACAGTAAGATGGTCTGGTATTCCCATCTCTTTAAGAGTTTTCCACAGTTTGCTATGAGCCACAGAGTCAAAGGCTTTAGCATAAACAATGAAACAGAGGTAGATGTCTTTCTGGAATTCCCTTGCCTTCTCTATGATCCAGCAAATGTTGGCAATTTGATCTCTGGTTTCACTTCATTTTCTAAACCCAGCTTGGACATCTGATGTTCTTGGTTCGCATAATGCTGAGGCATGCAAGATTTTAAGCATGACCTTACTAGCATGGGAGATGAGGGCAATTACCCAATGGTTAGCACATTCTTTAGTACTACCCTTGTTGGGAACTGGGATGAGGACTGACCTTGTCCAATCCTTTGGCCACTGATGGCTCTTCCAGATTTGCTGACATACTGACTGCAACACCTTGATGCCTAAAGCATCATCCTTTAGGGCTTCCAACAGCTCTATTGGAATTCTACTGGGCTTCCCTGGTGGCTCAGACGGTAAAGAATGTGCCTGCAATACAGGAGACCTAGGTTTGATCCCTGGGTCTGAAAGATCCCCTGCAGAAGGGAACAGCAACCCACTCCTGTATTCTTGCTTAGAGAATTCCACAAACAGAGAAGCTTGGCAGGCTCCTGTGCCCATGGGGGTCACAAGGGGTCAGACATGACCTAGCGACTAACACACACACTGGAAATCCATCGTATCCACTAACTTTATTAACATCAGTGCTTCCTAAGGCCCACCTGACTTCGCACTCCAGAATGTCCGGCTTTGGGTGACTGAAGCATAGGGACCAAGGATGTAGGACGAGCAACAAAGCTCACCATCATCACCCCTCAGAGGACATTTATGGAACATTTATGAACCAACAATTCCATGTTATAGCTCAATCCTTACAAAAATCATAGGTTCTATATTATTATAACTACATCATTAGGATGAGGAGAGTATTTATGGGCTGAGAAATCTGAAAGAGGTTAAATAACTTGCCTAAAGTTGAAGACATATAGTAAGGACTGATTAAGGAGTGGTGTAGAGTCTGAAACCCAGGCAGTCTGACACCAGAGAACTGTTCTCTTAGCCACTGCACTACAAAGTTCCCACATTACTTTTATTACTTCTCCTGTTATGTTAATCGCTTCTGGTACAGACTTGTATCAAGTCAAGAAAGAGTCCTTTCAGTAATCAAGATCACAAGAGAAGTTCTGATCTCAAAAAATCTAAGATGGCCTTCAACGAAACAGCTGTTAAACACCAGACTAGCATGAAGCAGAAGGCAAAGACTAGGGACAGTCCGAGTTAAGGAGTGGTGGGAGACAATTCTGTACTGTTTGTATAGAAATGAAAAATTAAATTTTAAAGCATACAGATTTACTCACAGATGGACACAAAGATATGCGTAAGAACATTCACAATACTATTATTTATAACATGGTGGGTGGTAGAGCTGAAAGGAGGAAAAGGAAGGTATGAACCTAAATGACCACAAAGAGAAATCATCAAATACAATCTGCAATATTCATTCTATGGAGAACAGAACTCAGAAGTTGAGAGGCAGATTAAACAGACAGGCATACATGGAAAAAACTCCCAATTATATGTAAAATAATGACATTTATATTTTTTAAAAGTGTCTCTGTGCGTGCTATATGCGCTAAGTCACTTCAGTTGTGTCCACTCTTATCTGTGTAAAATAACAGACAACAAGCTCTGGAAGGACACACTTCAATGTTAGCAAAGGTTACTTCTGAGAAAGAGAAGGGAACAGAGAAAGGTTGAAAGAGAAACTGTAACTTTCTATGTTACTGCTGGACTTGTTTGAATATTTCAAAGTGCAAAAACAGTGTTACACTGCTTCTTAAATTCTGTAGTTCTATTAATACTAAAGAGATTCTGGAACTTCAGTGAAATAAATGAGCCCTCTTAAAGAATCAAATGCAACACTTCACCTAACTGAAGCACATCAAGCAGCTCTTTCTTTCCCATAAACATGTCAATGAAGTGTAGCCTTACTCTTTTTCATTTAAGAAAAACTTTCCTAAGTAATTCAGTTGGGAAAATATTTTAAAAGTACTAAAGCACCAGGCACCTCATCAAAAAAGTCAAAACTGTACTACCCATCTCATGTTCTTAACTTTTTAGTACTTTCTGAGGGACACATTACATGTCCAAAATTTGACAATTCTAAACCCTGACTTGTACTGTCTTTAGAAAGCAGTTATGTTCATCTTTCTGATTTGAAAAGTATGATGTTAACTAATACAAATTAATTCTGCAGAAGGAATAAAACTTGTAAATTTACCTTCATGTCTACAAAACTTCATTAAGTCTTATTACACTCAAAGGCATACAAACATAAATAATCACTAGTACATAATTTACTTCAAATATAACATTTAGATCTTATTACCTCCATTTTTAAAGAATTAACTGAGACACAGAGCTGTTAAGTGACTTTATATCAAAGTAAGAAGTGGATTTCAGATTTCCTGGCACCTTCACTCATTAAATCTCAATGATTACTGCCTCAAGAATCTACCAGAAAAATTTTACATAGCTTCCTTAGAAGATGGTTTCTGAAATTGCTTAGATGCAGAAAATAATGTTGCTTCAAGGACTAAAAACAAAAAAACAGGTTTTTTTGCCTGCACTTCTCAGCTTGTGGGGTCTTAGTTCCCTGACCAGAAACTGAACCCAAGCCCTCAGCAGTGAAAGCACACAGTCCTAATCATTGAACCACCA